CCCCCCCCCCAGATTTCCATCATCTGTTGAAAAAAGCCCTGGATCTTCAAAACGTCCATCTCCCAATTTTCTACCGGTTCTACATAACTTGCAACGACTACCTATCCCATTCTGCCGCTAAACGTGTTTCTCTCCCATCAGCTAAAGGAGATCTGTGGCGGATTCTTGTATCTACTCATCGTATTTCCATTTCCGTTCAAGTCCCTTGTCTCTTCCACACCTTGGCGTGGTACAATATCTCACCTGCGCCTCGACAGCTGCCATTGTTTCATCTGTTACTCACAAACATCAGTCGGCCAATCTCAAGTGGTGGAAACATAGTGGTCAAAGATCTCTCCACTACCAAGGAATTTCCAATCCAAACACTTGTCACTCTAGACAAACCATCATCCTCGCGAAAGCTGTCATAATTTCTTGAGGACCAGTTGACAACTAGATTGGAAGCCCACCATCAGCAAAGTGCAAGCCGTGTCATCTATATCACAATGGTGTATTGCGGGAAACCCTCGCGGGGTTGTCAGATGTGTCGGACGAGGAGGATCAAGGTAGATATACACGCCTTCACATCACTGAGTATTGCTCACTAGATATCTCTAGTGCGATGAGACAAAGCCTACATGTAATCAATGTGCAAAGTCGAGGCGACAGTGTCCTGGATACAAGGACGATTTTGACTTGGTTTTTCGAAATGAGACCCAGGCGACGGAAAGAAGGGCAAGGAAGGCTTCAAACGGAAAGAAGGGGAACAATCAAATCGTCATTTCAAGCAGCCAGACAGTTTTCAGCACCGACAAGGATGGCGATTCTTTCATTCCGTCAGGTTCCGACAAGGAAACAGGTATGGTGAGGTTGGCGCCGATGGTACTTTCAATTCCGGTCGAGGAACAAGCACCATGTTACTTTCTCGAGAATTTCGTGGTGGCGTCGACGAATGCAGTGGATACACCCAGAGGATATTTCGATTTTCTGGCCCCGTTGATGAAGAATGAAGGATCTGGAGATCACCTAACCCTCGCGTTCAACGCCGCTTCGCTAGCAGCATTAGCGAATAGACCAAACACCAGGTCGAAATTGGATATGAAGCAAATGGCAATGGCCTCGTATGCAAAAGCACTAAAGGCCACCAATCTGGCTTTGCAAAGTCCAACGTTACAAAAAACTGATCAGACACTAGCTGCTATTTTAATGCTGGGCTTCTATGAGGTTTGTACCTTCGAATTTCTAGGTTTGGCTTGTGCTAACTGGCCTAGACCGTCTGTACGAATAACACTAATCCTGCTGCGTGGTATTCACACGTAAATGGGGCCATACAAATAGTCAGGATGAGAGGTAAGAAACAACTGAGAACGAAAGTCGGACAATCTCTTTTTCAAGTAGTGCGAACGCAAATGGTAATTCCATCGTCCACGATATGGAGGTAATAATACTAATCATAACCAGGTAATCAATTGCATGACTTCCTCCAAAGTACCTTCAATGGGAGCAGATTGGTGGACCCCAGACATCGGGGAAGATTATGGAGTAGCCATCACCAGGATAAAACTTCATATCGCGGAACTCCGAGCAGAAATGAATGACACACTGAGTACGTGTCCTCGAACCCCAGAATATTTCCAAATGGTCGCCGACATTATGCGTCGAGCTCATGTCATGGAGCAAGAGTATCACGAATGGGAAGCAAGTCTACCGGAATGGTGGCGACCCAAAACAGTAGCCTGGGTAGATAACCATGCGGCAACGGACTTTAGTAAGTCGGAGGTCTGTCCAGGGAAGGTGGAGTCGTACCATAATATATGGGTAGCCACGATATGGAACCACGCGAGAGTTGCGAGGATAGCTGCTAGTGGGATTATTGTTCGGTGTGCGGCTTGGATGTGTTCGCCTGTTGACTATAGGACGACGCCGGAATATGCGCATGCTACGAGGTTATGTGTGGATCTGGTCACGGATATCATTTCCAGTGTTCCGTTTCATCTCGGATGGGATATTGGAAGGGGAGGGAGTTTATCGAGTGCGGATCCGTTAAGTTTCGAGGCAGGGCTGGAGGCTTTTAGTAATCCCAAGGGATATGGGGGATTCTTTGCTCTATGGCCGCTGTTTGTGTGTTCGACGGCGGATTATATTACGGATAGTCAAAGGGCTTGGGTGAAGGGGAGGATGATGCATATCAGTGAGACTCTGGGGTTGAATCATGCCAAGGTTTTGGCCGGGGTAAGTTCTCTCTTCGTTCTTTGCCATCTTCGTTTCCACGCTTCCATTCTTCTTGATGAATCGAAAACTAACGCACCTCCAAGTTCCAAGTCCGCGTTCCTTCGATGATCATCCGAAGAGACAATATCGGACGCACACCTCAGTCCCAAATCATGGCAGCTCATCTCTACACGCCACCCTCGCCCAACGCACCTAAGTCAGGCCAGGTTATCAGTATGAACAGTCATGGCAACACGGCGAATGCAATGAATGGGTACACGATGAGTCCCCTACAGCAGAGGGAGTTGATGCAAAAGGAAATCTTTGAGAAGGAGAGGTTGAGTCTTATTAAGAAAGCTGGAGATAATCAACCTGAGGTGGAGAAGTTGATGGCCAAGTACTTGGCTGTTTGATGGGAAGGACTTTGATGAAAGGAATAGTCCTGTGTGAGAAGGGGAAGGTGAGAATGGAGAAATGGAGATATGCAGGAACGGAGAAATGAAGAACTGGAAAACTGGAAAAAAGTTTTTTTGGTTACGGATCAAAAGTTGGACATATATGAGGATGATATGGAAGAGGTGTAAGACGAGTAGAATGAGAGGGTTGTATAACGGCCGTAGGCGGTGATCCGGGAAGAGGGGGGGAGAGGGCTTTTCTATATACTGTAGGCATATTTCTGGGGTCTTGGGATACTGGGGAAGCGCATCACGATTGATGGGAGGTGTTGATGTTGTTGATGTTGTTGATATTTGGTTTGAATCATTGGTTTGGTGTATGGGTTTTTACTTGGATGAATTTTGGGGGAGATGGGAGAGAGAGAGGGGGGGGGGG